AAGACTGCACGTAAGTTTGACTTTTGTTAATAAATATGGAATATGACCCATTTTAAATTATTTGTGCTGTGATTAGTAAAGTTATTTAAAATACACATAGGGCTACCTCCACCCAAAGGTTATTTTTTTTTACATTCCCTTTTGAATTGTGAGTCATGCAAAGCATTTGCTTAAAGAAAATAAGAAACAACATTCTTAGATTCAAAAATAGAAAACTCCTTCCTCATCTAGAATGATAGGATGAACTTGTACATGGGTTATCTTCTCCATCAAATGGAGAAAGACCAAACTGAAACCCTCACAATGGCCATTTTCTACCAAGATTCCAGATTATCTGAGACTAAGCTCCTTCTGAGACCAGTGTTCTCCTATTCATGTTATAATCTAAAAGTCAAACGCAATAGAAGAACTTAGTTTTTGCTGTTATTTTTTAGAGCAGGGGGAAAAAAAGAACAGATTAGTCACTTGCTCCTACTTCTTTATTTTTCTTTCTAAATTTCCCTTATTTGGATCCCAGGAAAGAATGTGTGACTGTGAAATAGTACCTTCTTAGAGCTCTTTGTTATTAGCAGCTAAAGGTATCAAGTACGGGGAGTGTCACCAAATTCTTATCCAGGCAAAGTACTATTTTTGTACTATACTTTCTTTGAATTGCTCTTTTATGAACTCCAATAAAGTATTGGGAACTGAACTCAAATATGAATAATAGTTTTGATCACTTAAAGTACCACCATCTTCTCATTTTATTATAAAGGAATTTAAACATACTTTGTAAGGCTCAATCTAGTTTAGTTTTAGGTTTCTTTTTTTTTTCTTTTTACTGATAGGATGCATTGATCACTCATTGTGATCAGTATAGTTAGATTTCATATTGTTTTGAAACAATATGAAAAGCATACCTTATGAATTAACTGCCTATAGTTTCAATATTTTCTAACAATTAGGTAAAAGGGAGAGAAAGTAGGGCTGGGGACTTGCAATTCCAAAACAGGTATTGAAATAAACAAAGTGGATTTAATTTTTTTCCTCAGTGTTTTACAGTTGCTCCATTTGATAACATCAAAATTTTAGAAAATTTTTCCTAATTATGGTTATTTTGCAAGTAATTTAAAAATAAAAACAAGTCTCTTCATAATCGGTGTACAAATTAGCATAGGTATACCACATAAATCTCTCACCTCCCATATCTTGTACTGGCTTTGACTGAAATTATTGCAGAACTCACAAATGAGGTGACACTGTTTACAATAAATCCTGTTAGGAAAGATTCAATTTGAAGCAATCAGATGCTAGCTATGAAACGATTTGAAGTATCCGAATTTTATCCTACTTCACTGTTCAATGTACAGCAATTGCATCTGTGTGTTTGATCTGTCCTGCTGAGCCTATCAGCAGCTTGCATATCTGCCACTATTGTTTTTAAAATGGCTGGAAGGACGTGACTAGTCAAGAGCACTCAGCAGGATAGATTTCACATGGCACCAAAGAAGCCAGAATTGTCTTTGGGAAAGAAAAAAAATTATTGTAATCATGTAGTCATCTAATTCAAGCAGTCTTCCTACTTCGACAGAATGATCAAAATTATTCATCAGTGCATCTGCATTTAAACTATGCGCAGTGGAAAGATTCTGAAGCATTGCTACTGAGCGGTCTACTAGAGCTTGCACTGGCTCTAAGCGATCTGGTCAGCCTTCAAGGTGGCAGAGATCCAGGCATATCAGTGGCTCCAGTTGCTCATGACCATCTCGCTGGACTGGATGAACTGAAGATTATCTATAGAGCAGTTCTAGAAGTGTTTTGCAGCCTATCACGAAGGGGCAGCCACGCTGAAACTTTATTTTCCTCCCTCTTGACTTTTCTAATTCAGATTTATGAGTTATCACCAGATTGTATACATACATCAGAGCCTGGCTTCCCATGTATTTCTTTTAGTTAGTAAATACTTATTTCCCTGTGACCTGACCTTCAAGATTGTGGTCTTTGTGGAATGGACAAATAAGGAGAAAAAATAGTCCATCTGTTTTTTGTTTGTTTGTTTTGTTTGCTCTGGGCCTGGGTGCTGTTGTCCCTCAGCTCTTCAGCTCAAGGGTAGCGCTCCACCACTTGAGCCACAGCACCACTTCCAGCCTTTTCTGTTTATGTGGTGCTGAGGAATCAAACCCAGGGCCTCATGCATGCAAGGCAAGCACTCACCACTGAGCCACCTTCCTAGCCCCATAGTCCATCTTATAGCTGGAATAGAATCAAGTAAAGAAGGGCTTTGGTGCTCTCTCAAACTTAGGGAGTAGTGAAACCTAGATACAGCTCATAGTTTTGTAGTTATTTTATTTTAAATCTTGGGTAGGTATGGCCAGACATGTCACAAAATGCTCAGCATCAAGAGGTTTAATAGGGAGCAAATCTACCTTGAAATAACAGGAAAAGACAAGAAATGGAGCTGGGTAACATTTAGTCAAAAGCCAATGTTTTCCTTATTTCTCTGAGTTCAATCCTGACTCTGGGATTCCACTGTCCGGGAAATGAGTTCTGACTGCAATAGGAAGCTTGCTCTACTTGGGACTCTGAACATGCTCTACTTAGGCACCAAAGAACTAATGCTTAGGTTATGTCCCCTAAAACACAGGTATGTCCTCCTATACATAGAAATCCCATCTATTTCTCATGATTTCTTTCTGTTATGAAAAGCTTTTCAGGCAATTTCAAACAGAATAAAAATTGCTATTGCTTACTGAATTTATTACCTGAATGGTGGACACTATTTAAATCTTTTAGATGTGTTGCTCTCTTAATCCTTTTTGCTAATCCTGTGAAAGAGTATGGTAGAATGCAATGGTGGCCCAACTCACTGTCTTTTCGGGTACACACAGCTTTTTACATTATGGTTTTACTGCTTGCCCATCAAAATTGAAATCTATTTCTCCATCCCTTGAATATGAATTCTCTAGTTACTTGCTTGGACCAAAAGAATGGAAGAGAAGTGGCAAGTGCTAAGTCCAAGTCTACAGCCTCAAGAGAGCTTGTATACTTCAACTCTCCCCAGTTCAACTCTTTCAGAATCCTGCCAACGGCCATGTGAACTAGCCCAGGCTAGGTTGGTGGAAGACAAGATGTTACATGGATTAGGCATTCTCCCACTTACCTGGCAACAGAACTTAGATTCATAGATGCTCCAGATGAGAAAGAAGATTGAACATAGTCCTCATGGTTTATCCACACAACCCCGAGTTACATAAATGGTGGTTATTTTAAGTAAGGGGGGCATGATTTGTTCCATAATAAAATTAGTTGATAAGAAATGTATGTTCAGAGAAATGAAGTTCAGAGAAATCAGTCACAGTTTTCAGAATCACACAACTGTCCCAAGGTAGTGCTGAGGTTCAAACCAACACAATCTGGCTCCAGAGATTAGCCATTTTGCTACACTACTTACCATGGACATTCATTCAGTGTTTATTAAACATTCATTAAATGCCAAACAACAAACTAAATATTGAGGATACAATGATGAACAAAACTGCATTCTTGTGCACTAGGGGCTAACATTCTAATGGAGAAGACAGGAAGGCACTAAGTCAGTAATTAGATAAAATAAGTAAGTAATTACAGTTCATAATTGCTCTAATAAGGATAGGTATACAGAAGTATTGTAGAACAAAGCAGGACTGTAACTTCCTCATAGTACTTTTTATCAGTGATATTATTTTGACATTTACTATTTACTGCTTTGGTAGTAGCTTATTTGGGGGAATCTATTCTATCATTGTGACTAAATTACAATTTTCTAGGGAGAAACAGCATTTCACTTAAAAAAAAAAACCAAACAACACCCCCATCCCACACTGCCAACTCCTATGGTACATAGAAGTTAGCTTTCCAGCATAACAAGGTAGCTTTCTCTCATAACAAAGTAGATTTCTACTTTGCCTATAGTAGTGATTAAATAAACATGTTATTGGATGGCTAAAGGCAAAAAATTCAAATTTAT